TCCCCTCCCATTCCACCAGTATAATCAACATCATTACATTCAGTAGTATATTTCTTCCATGTCTCCCGATTCTCAATTACTTCCTTAAAAATACAAATATCACAATTAAGATAACGTGGTATCGATATTTCTTAGTATTGGAAACAATGAAAGATTTTCTTCAAATCATTGCGAGAGAACTTTGGATTATAAATAATCGTAGATTATAATAAAAAATAATAAATAACGTTAGATTATGCATAAACTTAAGTAGTAAAAATATATTATGAGACATTTTTAAGCAAATATAATATTTTATTCGGCAGTATAAGACCTATCAGGTTTCTATGATATCAACGTTCTGCGAAACAATTTTCTAATTCCAACAATCTAATAAAAAATAACTTGCCTAGCGTGGCACCTCCAGTGAATATTTTCATGTTAAGAAGTTTTATTTGCTGTTTGCAAGTTCTTAATAAAAATATTTTTTAACGTATTTCTATTGCCAGGCTAGACCATTTCCGGCCATATAAATGCACATGGACAATATATATTTAAATTATTGTTTCATTACAATATTATTTCATTACATTATTGTTTCATTAGATTTAATTGTCGACAAACAAGACGTAATGATTCAGTAAAGGCCGAAACAAGAGTGTATTTCACAGCGGACAATGTATTCACACGTACTATATTGAAAGTGTCAAAGAAATGTGTATTCCAGATTATCCTAGAGGAAACCGAATAAGAATTGTGCCAGTAGTTTTTTCGTGTTTAGAGAGATAGAAAGAGCTAATTATCACCTCTGTTGATACCGTCAGTCACCCAAAACGACTTTTAGTTCTCAAAAATAACAAAAAACACATTTCAGATAGATATTTTGGAATATTTTCTGACAGATACGCAAACATTATAATTTCTCCAACAGGGGACCGACGCGCGTCGAATGACACCTCGTTTGTTTCAATTGGTGGACCAGAAGGGCTCTAACAGCGACTGACAGACGGGCACAGGTTACTCAATTATTATGTAAAGATTCAAAAATGCAGTGTTCTCTAAAACAAAGGTTTCTTTAAAATACTCAAACGAGTCTAACGTTGTTACGTCTTGCAATAGGCTGTTTGTAGGCGTCCTCACAATCCAAACCAACAGTACAGTACAATAACTTTTTTAACTAGACCCTGCAATTGAAAAAAATCGGAAAAAATTCCAAGTGTTCTAAGAGAAATTGTTAAAAACTTTCATGTCTGGACCGGTGTTCTAAGGCGCAGCAAAACAGTTCTTATAAATCCGGGTCCAATCTGTCCTCCTTCATATGTTTGCGACAGTATGGAAGCTGGAATGTAGGCCGGTTAAATATTAATGAGAAATTCTGATTGAAAACTCAATTAGTAGCGACTTCAAGATATTGGAAGATTTGCTAAATCTTGGGGACCAATACAAGAGTATAGGACAATATAATAGTTCAGTATTTCGTTAAGCGAGGATCTATTATTCAAGATATCTTTTAGCAATGAGCAACTTCTACTTTTATTTCGCGAAAGTAGGATGAATACTTGCCATTTTTTAAATAGATAAACGTGATATAAGAAAAAGAGTAAAAAATGACAAAGATATCAAAAAATCAGCTTCCTACGGCAATCTGTAGCAGAGATACAACGAGAAAAGTATTTTTCAAGTTTTATTTTTTCTCAACTTCTTTTGAATGTATCCGATTGAAAATAATGGCAGAGAGGCCACCAGTTTGGCTTCAGACATCAAATGATTAGCGGAAATTTTAAAAGCCAAAATTATTACAGTTACAAGACATTGAAACAGTAACTGATACGCACTTTTTTAAATATTTCATCTTTTATTTCAAGTACACTTTTATTGTGTTATTTTTCGTTGATAGCCGTTTAAAATTGTCACTTTCTGACACTTTCAAAATGTTTCTCAACAGTTTTTGCCCTCCATGCAACATGGTGGCCAATGTCTAGTCTCGCTTTTCAAATGAGTCGCTATCTTTTATTTCAATGAGCGTGTCAAATGATCTCGCTTTTCAAGTGCCATTGTTGTGGTCACGTGCTTCATGACGCAAACTGTTGCTGCGCAGAACGAGCAAAAATTGGTGCGACGGGCGAGCCCACCCATCTCTTTCCACCATAGAAAAAGCGAGTGAAACAATATTATTTTGAACGTGCCAACAGCAGTGTCACCCTGTCAGCCAAGTAGCTTCGATAATTTATTATTTCACACACGCTCGTTACTTGATGAAAATTGTTAAAATTTTGAAGACTGTTTATGAACGAAATCCTGATCCCAATTATTGAAGGAAGGCAGTGACAATGATTAAGTGTTTGTCTATTGTCTATGAGTAATAAACCTACAACTGTGTAATTTAATTTATATTACAAATACGAATTACTAATATACCTAAAACCGAGTAATTTAAATTATTTTAGAAACAATACATAAATCTAAAAACAAAAGCGTTTTGATGATTTTATTTCGATAATGAAGATAATGATAATACTTTTCACATAAAAATAAACATTTGTCAACAGTAAGTTGTAAATCATGCTGGCAAGTGATAATTATCAATAATTTAAATAAACATTGGTGAAAAAATTTCCAATTTTTAAGCATTTTTTTACATTGTGGCGCGAATTTCAAAATTTTAAGCTGATAAAATAGTTTTTAACTTTTTCACAATCGACCACATTGTTTAAAAATCTGAAACAATGTGGGAATATTAAGGCAGTACTCCTTATCGCGTCGAAAATAATTTTCAAACTTTTATTACTTTTTTGCAGTTTGAATTTGATGTCATAATTGGTTGACAAAAATATCTTCAAATTCAATTATTTTCTTCCGTCTCTGCAATTTTTGTACAGCAGGATATATGCAATAGAAGCTCAGACAAAAATAAAACATGAAAAACACGTTTCTTGTATCTATGCAACAGATTTCCCTAGGAGGTTGATTTTTGGGGAAATCTACGGCATTTGTTATACTAATTCATATGAGTATCACGCTTATCGATTTAGTTTGGGGGCACTTTTCACCCCTTTATTGGTCTATACCCTTTTCTTCTATATATTTTCAATATCATTTTGAATATGGTTAAAGAACAATGAAAAGAGTTGTTCAATTTTTTGGTAATTTCTATTTAACAAATTATTTACTAATTATTCTTATTACCTTAGCATCTGTTAAGAAATTTAATATCAAATAATGATTTAAACAATAGTTTTTAGTTTCCAATTTTGTAGGATTTGTGAATTTATTATGGACGTTATATGAAAATTGACTTCACGTTGTATTTTCATTCTGTGAGCTTGGTAGTGTCTGAAAAAGGTTATTCCATTATAATGTTGACCTATATTTTATTAAAACGTAATGTTATGAGGTATCTCTCCTCGTGTTGATTTCAGAAATGGTCCGACAATTAGTTTCGATGAACTAATTGTTCAACTAATTGACTCTTCAAGGCACATTTCCTACCCCTTAAGCTCCCATGCAGGATAAGAAGAAAGGACAAGGGAATAAATAAACCCCAGAATGGGCAATCCCACAGAATCCCACAAACTGCTCAACTGCATTTTCTCAATCATTAGAGAAATCCCACTGGGACCTTTGTAGATGGTATCCTGAATCCGTGGCTACCTGGGAGGCGAGGCGTCGTTTATATTACATTCCCCTGGAATAAGTTCCCACTTCGACGGCCAAATCGTTGATAAAGTCCTTGGTAAGATGCGCAACCTTGATTACCAAGACTTAACGCATTAGGACGTCTAGCAAGGATTCAGATATACTTGGTCTTCCTGAGAATCATGGAATAATGGAATAATCAGACGAGGCCGGCAGGCGGAACCCCTTCCGGGTTTAACTACTCTATGCGAGTCATATCATTATAACCAGATATTTTGAGGCCCTCGGTGTGTGTTTCTGGGTTATCCTCACCCCCCGCGTGTACAGGTGATGTACAAATACACCTCTGATCTGGCTTTCGAGCGTGCCGAAACGCGACCGACGTCTATCCGAAGCCTAGTTGGGGTCACCTCGCCAGGTCGAGGCTGCCAACTCTACGGGTTGGTACAGGAGTCACTTTGCATCTGACTCGTGTGGAGGCAAGTCGCCCTTCAATAGCCCATGAATATTGGACATTGCCACGACGAAGCCAAGTGCCCACCAGATATCACCAGGATTATTACACTGAGGGAGGCAATGAGCCCCAACCGATCTCCTTCCTGTAGCCACATCTGCTAACGACGTACCAGCGTGATACTGTGTATCTAATCCGCCGCCACGACATTTACAAACGGGACCATAGCCGAAGCCATAGAGGGGGCGGGCAGCGCACCTGGCGATGAGCGACATCGAGATGGGCACGACGCCCATGGAGCGTCCGCCCATCAGGTAGTCGTCGGCGGAGCGCGCCCCGGCGAAGAAGCCGAAGTAGACGCCGATGGCGGCGCACAGCAGCAACATGAACGCGAACACCGCATAGTCGGCGATGCCGAACAGTTGCAACGCCTGGTTCAGCTCGTGCACGCTGGGCGCCGTCGCCTCCTCCATCACGGGCAGCTTCGCAGGGGGATGGGGTTTTGCGAAGAAACGAGGACCGCCGCGCGACTATCGCACGCAACTCGGTCTGGCTGTGCTCGTCACCGCCGCTGCCGCCGCTGCCGCCGCCGCCGCTGCCGCCGCCGTCTCCGCCACTGACCGCGCACTGTGGACCGTCCTAGACCGCCGTCGCCCCGATAACGACTGGCGGCTCCGCGGAGAAGACGGCGGAGGGCGCGTGGGTGGTCGCGCGGGGCGAAGGCCGCACGGCGCGACGCGACGCGACGCGGCGCGGCGCGGTGCGGTGCGGCGGGCGGCGCTGCTGGAGGCTGCGAGTCGCCAATTGCACGCCCCTCCGCCGCCGCCCTCCGCCCTCCGTCCTCCGCCCTCCGCTCCCTGTCAGAGGGCGTTTAAGCCTCGCAGCAGCGCGGCGCGACGCGGCGTCACGTGGCTTTGATTTACGAAGCCCGGTGTTTGGCCAACGCTTAGACGCCGGGCGCTGCCTTAACACCCTCTGATGCCGCGAGGTAAATCATTTTTGGCCGACGACACGTGGGGAAAAGGCGAAGTGTCTCGCGGGAACACGTGCGTTTTAAAGTGTCAAGCAATCTCCTGTTCTTCTACAGCTACATCGACCTAGCTGCGTAATTATTATGCTTGATTTTTCTGACGATTATTTGCTATTTCATCAATTCTTATTCTTTCTTTTGCCGTGAAGATGATTGGCTTTGGAGTCTGCATTAGTTTGTATTTGCATGCTAGTTTGTCTGAAGTGATATTTTTTTCATACATATCTAATGTGTAGAATTTTCGCTGTTTTTACATTTTTTTCTGTTCTAATCTCTCGATGGTCTTTAATATTTACCATGAGCATGCGTTTAATAAGTTAATGTGTTCATGTACTCGAGCGTGATGAATGGTCTCTTATAGAAGTAATTGCGTTAATTGCTGGTGTGCTGAAATTCCAAGACTTTGATGAAGATATTTTCGAAAGAGGATTACAGTAGTAGCAATATATCAATAAAATTATACATTTTTATGTAACCGTACAAATAATGTAATAGTTATGAACAAATACTGCGAGAAACTGTGAGTTACTGGATTAAAAAGTGAATTGGTTCATAAAATGTATTTAATTTTGTCTAATAATAATTTTGATAATAATAAAAATTGTGGTAACATTATGGTTGATTTTCTAAAATAGCAAGCGCAATAATTAAATGCATTAAATATAATGGTTTGCATAATAAAATGAACTATCACATGAAAATAGAACAACATGAAATATCATTAGCCAACAATTTATAAAAAATGTTACGACAATTATTTCGTTTTTAACGCGAACGTAAAATGTTATACTTATTATTGAAACGCTCTTAAGGGTTTTTAAATGAATGAAGAAACGGTGCTGTGAAGAAGTTTTCTAGAATTCGGTCACAAGTGTCAACTCTATTGATTAAATAATTTCTGTACTATGCTAGTTTGAAATTGTTTTTTCTAATTTTCATAGTGAAACTTCTAAATTGTATAATCAGTGTAAAATTATATCTTTCCTGTAGATTTGCGTTGTAGTGTCTATGAAGGATCTTTAAAAATCTCAACCACATGAGTAAGTTTTTGAATAAGCTGATGAAGTTATTCTATGTTATAGTTCAAAACTCAATAATTGGAAGAATTTAGCCTTTTCAACTTGAAGATTATAAGAGCTATATTACTTCTCATTGCTGATTATTAAGTTATTATATACGAAAAGGAGGATCACCAAATGAGACTTCATCAATTATATCTAATGTGTACAAATTATAATATGAAAAACAATAATATGAAAAATTGTAATGTAAAAATTATAATATGAAAATAAAAAACAAAAAACGAAGGTAATTGCTTTTACAGAAGTTTATCCAATTAGAACAAAAATATGCCTGGAACTCCTAACAATATAACAAGTAACACATTTCAATTATCTGGGATGTGATATAAGCTACGACCGGAGCCAAGACAAAAAATAAATTGAAAAAAAACAATATAAATGCAGCACGCTATACAGAATATTGAGAAATAAGTCTAGCAAAGATACAATGCTGAAATTTTATAAAACAATGGCAACACCAGTAGTCTTATATGGGAGTGAAAATTTGATTCTCTCTCAAAAAGAAAAATTATTTATTCAAGCTCCAGAGATGCCATTCTTAAGGGGAGTAAAATATTGTGCTGTACTAGATAAACAAGAAATGAAGATACAAGAAAATAATTAAATATATTTAGCTTAAATTATTCTATACAACTACATAAACAAAAATGAAAAAAACGGTTAGAAATAATGGAGCAAAGTAGGGTACCTAAACAAGTGCTACAGTACAACCTAACAGCAAGAAGGAGTGTAGGAAGACCATGTAGAAGATAGTTCGATGTGTGAAGACGGATCAGGCAGCTGCCTTGTCCTTGAAATGCAAAGGAAGACGACAACTTGAAAACTTTGTTTGTCATTTTGAGTTCCCACACATCGTTGTTTCCTTACGCCCACGCGAAGGAGATTCCTAGCGAGAGATGGAGAGGAATACTCTGGCTACGCTGCAGAGCAAGAAGCAACGCCAAGGAGGCGCCAACGTCGCGGAAGCTACTCAGGCGGGACTGGCGTGGGAGTCGAAACGGAGCTGCCAGAAGCAGGAAAGGCGTGCGCAAGGCGACTCGGACGTCTGGAAGGCGACGCACGTGGCGTCATTTACGTTGATGCCTGAACGCCTGATCTGTCTGTCTGTCTGTCTTCTATGAAGACATGGCTCCGTAGCAACAGTGTAGGTTGGAAGGTTCAGTGCGAGATAGCGAGGAGAGTGGTAAGAAGCTGTATTCACTGTGTGATTTGTCGCAGGAAGATCTGGAATATTTCTTGAACAAATGAAATGTTAATCCTTGCATTTTAATTTTAGTTCAAATTTCAATTAAATTAAAATTTCATTAAGTTTAAATTTAGTCTAGTTGGGGAGGGTGGGAAGAAGGATAGTCAGGGTGGGAAGAAGCTGTATTCACTGAGTGATTTGCCACAGGAAGAGCTGGAATATTTCTTGAACAAATGAAATGTTAACCCTGCAGTGTAATTTTAGTTCAAATTTCACTCAATTTAAAAGTTTCATTAAGTTTAAATTTCGTCTAGTTTTAAACCCCCTTTATAACTATGCAGTACCTTAGGTTGATTTAAATTCTAAATAATATTTGGTGTCAATCAACGCAATATTTTTCATGAGAGAAATGTAGTGTAATTTCCTTAATATAGGGAATTAATTGCAACATTTTTCCAAATAATTCATTAAGATTGCTGCTCTCTTAAAAATACATAGAAAGTTATATAATTATAGCTAAACTATAGCTGAATTTATTTTAAAATAACTACATCACTGGAATATGAACCTTGTACATATTTCCAAAGCTCCGGAACCAACCAGCTGCTCTAGATTCTTTTGTATCACGACACCACACGTTATCTATGTTCACTATTTGAACAATGTGAATAGGTTATAACTATCGAACGACCGCTATCAGTCACAGTACATAAAGATATTTAATAACTTGTACATAAACAATGACTGTAGGGTTTGAATAAGACAATCTGCAAGCTCTTCCTGTAGAGTTCATTGACCCCGTCGACTAATCCAAAATAAAACAACCAAAACCAAGCGCATTCAAATGCAATTATTTGAGTTCGTTACAAAATCAAAGAAGGCAATAAACCAGCAAACACGGAAGCAAAAAAAATGAATTTGTATTCAGTGAATGTAAGTGTTGCAAAATTAAAATTTTTATCATTCCTTAATTAGCAATTGATAGTAATAACATTACTTATAGTAATAAATTTTATAATAACTTTGGATTGCAAAGTATTTAAATTTTGAATTACGTAGTGTAATATTTTAGGACAAAAATAAAAAATCTATCTATAAACTATTAAGAATACTTTCTAAGGAGAAAAAATTGTAGTTTTCGAAAGACATTTCATTTATACCAAGAACTTATAAAATGGTAGAGACGATGACTCGCTATTTGTATATGATCTGGTTCAATTTTACTCCTTACTTAGCAAGACGTTAAAGGCACGTTTTGCTAACACATATACTATATTTGCAAAACACTGACCATTAAATATTGACAAATAAAGATTAAGGGCAAGTTTCTATTACATGGGAGCGAGCTGGAAGGAAAACCACTTCCAAATCTTTACATTCACATTTCAAAAATGAAACGTTCCACAAAATACAAATCTACGCATTATTACCTCTGAAAATACAATTAAGCATTTAAAATATGATGTAGATACCAAATTAAACATACAATAGTAGGAATTTGTTTAACATAATTAAATGGAAAAATGAAACAAATTCTACTAAACTGTGTTTATCTACAAAACTATTTCTGAAAGTAAATGTTTCTCTAATATATTCTAATTTATTTTATTTTTATAATGGAAATTGACGATCATATGCTTTCGTTGGACAAGTTTGGTGTAACGCTACAAAACTTCGCGTTCTTAGTTTTCAATGAACGCAAACCCAACGGAAAAACTAATGACACATTGTTTATTTCTCACAATTGTACCGCACACGTGGAGCAAAATCGTCGTTTCTTTGAGAAGTGTGAAATACTTTCCACAGTCTTTTAGTTTCTTTTAAACAAAATTAATTTTCAAATTAGATGGAAAGAAAGTAACCTAAATAGAATAACTGAAATCATTTCAAATTTCTTAATGATCTCGTATATTTTTGAAGTGAAGTGGGTATTATTTGTATCGCGTTTCCAGCCACAAATAATATCTGAGTATTACATTCTAATTCATATATTATTAGGCCACATGTCATTTTTCGCCATAAAGAAACCTATTTAGAGTGTTAAGCTTCTACACACAATTCAACCTGCCATAAGAGGTTAAAAGTGCTTTTATTAAGCCACAAGCTCATTGACGAAGCAAAAACTTATCTTGAATGTGAATGAACAAAGATATCTCGAAAAGGTCACACATACCAGAATGAAATTACTTGACTTAAATAATCAGAAAGACGTTGAAATAATTCTATGCAAAAGTATGTCACAAATGCACGTGATCAGACAGTGATTGTATCTTTGTGTGTGGTATCGAAGCTTTCCCCTATATTTGGGTCTCATCTCAAATGTTTTAATTCATACCTCACTAACTAGGGCAGATAAAGACTCACGTGGAAGGAGCACAATAAAAACAGTGGCTAGTATATTCTGGATATTTTCCTTAAAAATTGTCATTTTAATTGATGGCTGTAAGAATAATTTAAACTGAATATTTCTTTACTTTCACAAATCAATAGTGCACAATAACCACATGTTTGTGAAAAAATTGTGCATTTAAAAATGTCGTTATTAAAAATGTAATGTTTTAATAAACGCCTGTCTATAACGTCCATCTTGTTATGCATTCTTCTAATTCTCCCACTGCGTATCAGATTTCTTC